GGTCACGTGCTCCAACACCTTGCTGTGTCCTCTTCACAGGATAAGCTCCCTTTTCCAGACAAGAAAGGTGGACGCAGTGAGTGCCCACCGAGTCCCGTGCTGACACCAACGCAGGACCAGCCTGGGGACAGCTGTCGCCATGCTGTCTGTCCACATGGGGAAGAGACCCTGGTGCGTGTGAGGGCGGTGCAGGCGTCCACGTGTGTGCATGTGAGAGACAGAAGACACCTGGTTTCTTGAATGTTTCCTTTTTTTTAAAATACATTTGTATTAATTTCAGAGAGGAAGGGAGCTAGAAACATCAGTGAGAGAGAATCATTGATAAGCTGCCTCCTACACGCACCCCGGTTGGGGATCAAACCCACAACCCAGGCATGTGCCCTGACCGGGAATGCAACCGTGACCTCCTGGTTCGACGCTCAACCACTGAGCCACGCTGGCACACCGACCGGGCTTGAATGCTTCCTTTAACAATGTTTCCTGGTGAGCTTTGTTTTTAAAACAGTGTACTTACAAAACAGGTTATGAATTACGCCCAATTTGTGCAACATGGCAAACGATGCAGATCCACTGAGCAGGCGGCACACGGGTGCGGCAGACCCTGGGTGGGCACGGGCACCGGGCTCCTCCAGTGAGTGCTATGATCAGTGAGTGTGCACATTTCCTTTGAAAACTGTGTGTAATGCTTTAAAAGATATAAAAAAAGAATACATCTCATTTCCAACAGAAACCGTACTGTGATGCTGTTGTGGGTCCGCAGACGCAGGCAGGCCCTGCCAGGGCTGAGACCAGGCCACCTTTCCCTCAGGCACCTGTTTCAAGGCCACGGCGGCACCGAGGGGACACCCAGGGAAAGACCACCCGTGTCCTCCGGGGACGTGGCCATGCTCTGTCCACAGGGGAAGAGGCGGGCTGGGACCAGTCTGAGTGGCCAGATAAAATACAGGCTGCAGACACCAGCAGAAACTTCAGATACTTTATTGACACATCTTTCACATTACAATACAGTCAGAACACAGTCCAGCACGGAGGCACACAATGATACACAGCAGCACATTTCCAACCCTGTCACTCCCGCTCTCCACATCTATCCTGAGAGGCTGTCCCAGGGACGGGCGCGTGGGAAGTGGGGTAAATCGAGTGCAGTGCACTCGGTAGGAGGGACACACGAAGTAGGTGAACCCAGAGGAAGGAAGCAGTCGGCCGGCTCCGAGCAC